CACAAAGGGAAAGGGGGGTCGGACCTCTTATATTGAAAAAATAAATTGTTCTAAATTCTGATTTGTTGGAGTTTTACTGAGTTTCTGAGTTTCTGAGTTTTACTACATGTGACACATAGAGCAAAATACACGAATAAATATGTTTCTGGAATGTCTCTATTTCCTTTTGATGGAGGAACCGGCCATCAGCTGTGTATTAAATTTCATTTTCTGCTTATGCTTCGCTTTTGAAAAAGCATTACAGTTTGAAAAATCACCTTATTTCGCACCAGCTGACAGCATCACATATATCCTGCATCAGCTTATTTCAACTTTAATTGAAGCGATGTTTACACTGAGTGTTCACAGCCAAGAGTTCTTATGTTTTCCAGGATGTATCATCCATCAAATGGACATATCAGAGATATACTGTGCATCAGTTACTGCAAATCTTTCCAACTTTTCACTAGAATTTGAAATAAAGTTGGATGGGCCCCTGCGCTGTCTGTCTGCGGGGAGAGCTGCCGCACCGTGTGCCTGCAGATTTTCCAAATCTTCAGGAAAATACTGCAAAAAAGAAGTTCGATTTGCTGGCGAACACACGTTAAAAGCCTTCAGACAAACTTTATTTTCACCCTGATATTATTTCCGTGTTTACACCAATTGCTGAGCGGGGCTGAAAGCCACACTCAGTTCTTAATCCTATCCAAACACGAGCTTTATCACAAAGCCAAACATAAAAGCCGAACACTACACTATGTCCCACTGAGTGTCTTTCTGATACTGTTTGAAATATTACAGCTCACAGTGCTTGATTTAACATATGTGCCATGTCAGCACATTGTAAAGGAGTCCGCTGGCCCTAATCGCTCTGATTTACTCAAACGTAGAAAGAAAAAGTCAAAGCCACGAGTGCAGTCTGTGGCCCATATTGATGCAAAATTCATATCTCTGCGTCTCATGCCTCGGGCTCTCGTGTGTTTTCATCTCGGCTCCTAGACAAACAGCCATATAATGGTGCAGCGATGAGGCGTTTATGTATTCTGCACCGCTCTCTGAGACCTGCGGGATTGATGTGAGGGCTGGCTGATTGCAGTGCAGTTGATAAATGATTCTACACATGCACGTAAAATATGACCAGCGATTCGCTTTGTCCAGAATATCCACTCACGTGCGCTGTAGCAGCCGTGACCCGCAAGCTGCTGAAGATGGTGAAAACTATTTTAAAACAGCAACGCTGTTTTCAGAGTTACCACCCTGGAAGATAACACTATCATCATCACTGATTACGCACATTAGCAGTCAAGTGTGATACATTTACACAAGTGACAAGAATACATTATATTAATAAATACAATCATATAGTTAACATGACAAAAACAGTTTCACTGCAAGCTCGTCAAATGAAAAAGACTTGAAATGAGTTATGCTAAAAACTAAATATGAACTAAATATTTGTGCTGAAACAAAGACTCAGGTGTTCAGTCCCCAAAATAATCATCCACATACATTATTCATGGACTTTGACATAATTCAGCACAGTGTGTGCCGTGTTTCACTTCAACTGTCCAGTGTGTGACCCTTATCAGTATGGCCCTCTGCTGCCCATACTCCACAGTCCAGACAATGTATGTTAGATTCATTTATGTTAGATTAACGAGTAATTCTAAATTGACAGTAGCCCTGCAAACGACTGGCATCACACCC